GCGCGGCCGCTGCGCCGGGCCCTGGGCTTCCCGCTGCGGCTGCCACCCCCCGGGGCGCTAGAGCACGGGGCTCGCCGTCCGAGGCCTCCCGACAGGCCCCGCCGCTCCCCGGGCGGCCGCTGCGCCGGGCCCTGGGCTTCCCGCTGCGGCTGCCACCCCCCGGGGCGCTAGAGCACGGGGCTCGCCGTCCGAGCAGCCTCCCGACTCCTCATCCTCTGCGACGTCCGCCTCGGCTTCCTCGGGGGGAGGCTCGTGGCCGGGAGGGAGAACGTCCCGGGGGGCGCGGGGCCTGGAGCGGGCTGGGAGCTCCCCCCCACCGCTGCCGCCTCCCACCACGTCTATGTCTGCTTCGGCCTCCGACAGCGCGGCCGGGGAGCTCTCGGAGGACATGATCTCGCAGCAGCAGCTGCCCAGGGTCATGGTGCCGCCGCCGCCGCTCTCGGCTCCGCTAGGGCCGCGGCTCCAGCTCCGCCGCGCTGCCTCTCGGGCGAGTGTGTTTTGCGCGCGGGCGGGGAGGGGGCGGGGGACTCAGGCGGACAGGGAGGGGTGTTCCCCCCAGCTCCGCAGCGCCCCCTGGCGGCCCGATTCCACGGCTCTCACGGCAGGGCGCACCCAACGGGGGGCACAATCCGCTGCCCAGGGATGCTAAACGCAGAGCGCAGACGGAAGGAGTGAAACCCCCGTTACTGGGTCGGCTCTGGGCCCTTAGTCCCCTAGAGATACGAAGTGGGGTTTCGAGAGATTAGTCCCTCCCGCCCGGTGGCTGCCTAAGGCGGAAGAACCGTGGGCCCGGGGCGGAGCTCCCTGGGCGGGGTGGGGCGGGGAGGAAGGGGGCGGGCGGAGGTCCTCTGCCGTGGGGCCCTGCGGGAACAATCTGCCTCCACCGCTGGAGCTCGCGTAGCTGGAGGCATGTCATCCTTTTTCTTGCTGCTCCGGCAAACGCTGGGCTCCCTGGAGCCACTGCCTTCAGTGTGTTCAGTCCCTGGAAGTCAAGATTTAGGCCGGTGCAGCTTGAGCTGGTGGAAGTGGCTTCAAGCCTCCTCCCGTATTCTCTCCGAGGCGGCGCCCAGACCACCCCAGGCCAGTGGATCGCAAGTGAGAATTGAGACGCCCGGACCGACGCGGCGGAAAAGCCAAGAGGTTTCCAGCCGGCCGGGGGCGGGTGTGATCGTGAAGAGCAAACTTGGCTCCTGCAGTTCGGCCTATCCTGCTGCGGTCCTGTCTTTCCCTTCCAAGGCCTTGGCCCTGCCACCATCCCCGGGAAGACCTGGGAAGCGCGCCGCCCGTTCCTGGTCTCCTCTGAGACACGTCTCCGCGGATACAGAATTCCTGGGACACCTACCAGTCCAGCGCCTCAGCATCTCCACCTCTGTGACTGCCTCTCGGTGGCGAGTCAATTTGTCTTCTTTTCCTGCGGAAACTGCACTTGTCTAGATGTCTGTTCATGAAGTGAGTCTGAAAATTCCTCTCTTAATTGTCCCCTCTGGACTTAAAGATCTTACCAACCGACAGGCATCAGGACTCCCACAGAAACCTCCCCCAAAGAAACTTAACTCCAGCCGGGGCCCAGTGTTGCCTTTATATGACGACTTTGTACACAGAAAGTTGGTCCGGTGCGCTCTTTCAGCAGGGTTTCTGCCTGTCTTGTTAGGCCTCTTCTTCTCTATTCTCCCTCCAGGACCCAAAAAACAAGTTGCTCCAGTTCATACTGAGCCCAATTCAACCTCTGGGTAGGATGCTGGACGTGGACAAGAGATGGGCAGATGGCTAGCCGCTGTCCCCACAGCGCCGCGCAGTGGCCAAAACTCTAGCACCGGAGGCCTCTGTCCCAGCTGCACGCAGCAGTCTTAAGATTCATCCTTAGGTAACTAACTTCCTTTCAGAGCCTGTTTCCTGGTCTGCATAGCGGTTAAGAGCAGGGCTCACTAGGTCAAACCGCTGGGATTCCAATCTTGTCTTCACTACTTACCAACTCTATCATTTGGGTAAGTTTTTTAATCTTTTTTCCTGTCTCTTTTTCTAAAATAAGATTTAGAACACCTATCTCAACCCAGGCATGGTAGCTTGCATCTGTAATCCAAACACTCTGAATGCCAAGGCAAGAGCTTCAAGTTTGAGGTCGGCCTGGGCTACATAGTGAGACCCTGTCTCAAAAAAAAAAAAAAAGATAAACTTAACCTTGTGACTAATATGTAAAAGTAATCGCATTGTATGCTACTGATTATACAGATTCTAAGTGCCCTGTTCTCTGGGAGAGAAAATAATTAGGAGCAATGTAGTCTCCCATCTGGATCTCAAGCCTTGGCCCAGTTGGAGACAGCTTATTACTATCATATGAACATCCTGTCACTGTGGTGAATCTCCCCCCATAGATAAGCTCTGGGCATGTTGGCAGGAAATTTGCAGCCTCCGTGGCAGGAATTTCAGAAGAATGTATTAAGGGCAGATGGATGTTTTTATCTAACAATCTCCCATCAATGAAAAGTCTAGATAAATCCAATGCTCCCTTTCCACAGGTGGAGAAAGGGGCAAAGGACTCCAAGACAGAGCAGCATCAGGATACAAGACTGTCTAGAATTCATAGAGCTTTTCGCCTCCCAACATAAGAGCACAAGTGGCCAACAGGCAGGTGTAACTGCTCTTACTCTCTAAAAACAAACCCTCCAAACTCGTGGGGGATGTCTAACCAAGAGGACCCACTTAATGTGCTGGGTCTACCTAAACAAAGTATCCCTGAATAAAGAAGAGATCTAGTCTTCAAAACAGGGCAGGAAACTGGGCAGAGAGCCCTGGAATTGGAATTTTCTGGATAACAAAGTCCTCCAAAAGGACCCAACTTCTTGTCAAAGTTTCTTACCTGAGTTCAGACTAATTCACATATCTAGGGTTGCTAGATTTAGTGGATATGTCTTATCCAGCAAAAACACACACACACACACACACACACACACACACACACACACACGCACTTCAAGTTTGCTTTACTTTGTGGAACTACAGCTCTCTCACTCCCAGGACCCCATTCAGATACCCTACACCATCAACCACATCCCAATTCCAACCCAGCTCATCTTTGCTAATGTCCCAAGCCCCGCCCCAAAAAAAAGAAAAGAGAGAGAGAAAAAAAAACTAGCATTGGCATCATCGACTCCATTTTGCCTTCTGAATGGCAAACAGATGAATAACTCCTGCATTGCCAGCGCTTTCCTGGTTTTCCAGACTCCAGTTGCACCCCCAGCTTCAGGGTAGGACTGGCTGAAGCACTTATCGTCCAGATCTTTAATGTTCCAGACAAGACCTGGTCAGCTATCGCTACCAGCCCTAAATTCTGGCCCATCTCCAATTTACTTGGACTGAGACCCAAGCTGGAGAAAAGTGATTGAGAACCCCCAGTTTCTCTTTTGCAATGCATCACCTTAAGGAATCATTCAGACACCACAAACACTTCAACAAGAGTGGAAATGGAGGGCCAGGACAGCATATTGCTTGCCAGGTTTTTGAGGTGCTCTAAATTATAGGGGACCCAGCCCAGAACTCATATATTTATCCACATAACTATGCTTCCCAGACAGACCTCCCCTCTTGCCTGGGGAGGGTGTTTCTGGTGGCCTCTTATCCCTTCCAAGGCTCTTAAGCTCATTTCTTTTAAACATTGCCAGAAATACAGGCCCTGGAGCCTGGGAGAAGGGCTACCCCAGGATTCAGAATGTGTTGGTTTGCCTCACTTCTTCTGTAGCCCCTGCCGTTCTAATCTTTTGACTCAGTCTCTCTAACATCTTCCAATTTTGCCTTCACCCTGCAGGAGTTTGTTGCTCCCAGGGCTAAAATCTGGCATAGTCCTTGAAGCCTGGGCACCCATGCCTTGGGCAACCTCTAAGGAACAGAAAGCTGGGATGGGGTGGGAGGCTTAGTTACAAAGTCCTAGGTGGTATTGGGAACCACCTTCATCTGCCTCACTGCGTAACCCCCTCTCTTGAGCAGCCCAGAACAATTGAGAGGAAGCTTGGGATGGGACAGTGTGCCTATGCAGTGTCTCATTCCATTCTGAAATGGTTTTATAATCCGGAGGAAGTTGTATGTTTATTGTGAAGGATGTTTTGCTCTCAGTGGTGTCCAAGCCATCTCTCCAGCCCTTCTTATGGGCCCCAGAAAGGAGAGCTCTCCCAGGATTGTGTGGATATAATTAAGTCAATGGTAAAACTGGCTAAGAGCTGAGCTGCTAGAAGAGTTCGTTTCCAGCTAAACTTGCATATGGTCTTCGGGTTTGGAAGCTCCCTGACCCCTACTACTGACACAATGTGGCTGCATAAAGACGCTGGAGCTGAACAGGGGACACTAATGTCCAGGCACCTCTCCAAATTTATTTACCAAACTGGCCAGCCTTGGGGAAAGCTGGTGCTAGCCTCCTCCCGCCCTCCAGGAGATCACAATCCTAAATCGAGACCTTTGGTTTCAGTCGCTACAACTCACAAACAGTCCGGTTCTCCACCCGGATCTAAGCCTGCTTAAAGTCAAAGCCTATCTTAGCTAGGTTTGGAGGTGGAGAGTCAGGCGACCCGGATCCCAGGCCCAGAGATGACTGGTCTCCAGTGTGTGCTCCAAGATCTCCGCAGTTCATCTGCCCACCCCCAGGCGCCTCTGCTGTAGCCCACAGTTCAGGGAGATAAAGTTTCCACAGTCCTCTTTCCATTACTCCCAGCCGTGGCCCCCTAATTGCGTGGTGAGGGTCTGGCTTAGGCACCTGTGGCCCACTCTGTGGCGATTGAAACCAGAGGGAGCTGCAGATCCTGTAGACTCCGTTCGTGGGAAGAGGGTTTCCAGCTCAGAAGGTGCTGCCTTCAAACCGCGGAGGCGCACGCTCTGCAAATCCGCACAGCTTAACATGCTGGGACGGGCTCCACGCACTGCAGAGCTGTAGTGCCAGGGAGTAGGGGGGAGCTTCCAGATGTGCCAGAGCCAGAGCCCCAAGTCTACAGCCCCTAGGTACGAGAATCTGTTCGTCTGTTTAATGTGCCTTTTCCTGTGGGTAACTGGCTCTGAGGGGCCAAACAATCCTGAGACAGGCCTCTGAGTCTTCCCCTACCGACCTCATGCTCTGTGCTCAGAGGGCCAGAGTGACCTGCACTTCCCGGGAAAGATGGCAATTCAAGCTTACAGCTTTCCTCAAGAATCTTAAGGGACTGCAGTCCTGCTCGGGGAGCAGCTGGACCTCAGTAGGGAAGGGCAGTGTGCAAGTGTGTGAATCTTAGGGAGAAGAGGAATCTTAGGGAGAGTGAGGAGTGCTTTGTAAAGCCTTCGCGCTGCAAAACCAAGCCTGGACCTACTTCACCAGACACAACGCTGCTGCTAGAACAGCAGCACTTTGAGAACTGGATGCTCTTCTAGGGTCCTGAATTGGCATAAGGCAGAAGGGAGGGTGCCTAGCCTTAGCCCTCTAGTTCCTCTAGGCTCCCCCCAGCGTGTCCTTGCATTTCA